TCTCAGCCCCGCCTGACTACCGGGACTCCTTTTTCTCTCCGACTTCAGTCCCAATAATAACACTGGGAGCACCTATTCAGTGTTAAACCCCTCACAAAGGTTAACAAATCTGAAATGCTGTGGGTTACAGTTTGCGCCTTTTGCCCTCAGGATACTGGAGTGTTTTGAAAACTAAACCCCCACTGAGCTAAGCGGATCCTGGACAGAGTTTTTTTATGTCGAGCAAGGCCACGCAGCCACCAGCGGGGTGGAGGCAGAGAGCATATGAGACATTTTGGCTAAGAACACTGGAAAAAATATTTATGCTTACTGAAATGAATACCATGGGGCTTTATTGTTCTCCCAGACCAGGCAGGCAAAGCAGCCTCAGGGAGATGGCTGCAGTAAATGTGATGGCACCTTTTCTCATATCTGCCAGAGCCCTGTGGCAAAATAAATTGCAATTTTGCTTGCATTGTCATATATTTGCATACATTCCGGGGAAAACTTTAACTGTTAGAACCAGCATTTAAGAGATCATTGCATATTGGCTACCAAGAGTTCTGATAGGTGACATACACCTACAAAGAAATAAGAGAGGAAACATCTTTTCTGTCAGAACAGAAACTTTCTCTTGTTCTGCCTCACAGAAACCAAAAGCAGGAGAAAGTACAAGTGTTAAGAATCCAAAAGGACATTTTCTTTTAAATATTTTTTTTTTTCACTGAAACCCATGGGACTCTGACAGAGTAACTCCATAAAGTCTTTCTGGGAACAATTCAACTGAAAAGTATGTAAAGAAAAAAAAATTAGAATATGGGAATTGGAAAAATTAGAGAAATATTTGCTTTAAATGCTGTCTGGAGAAAGACACACTTAAGCATCTGGAGCTACATAATCTAACTTAGGGTAGAAATTAAGTGAAGATACCTTTGAAAAACTTCCATGAAAGGGTTGTATCTTGACACTGAAATCAATTTCTGATTTCAAGTTAATTCCTTTTCCACCAAAGAGTAAGTCCACCTCTAGAAAAAGAAAGCAAAAGGAAAAAAAACCCAGTGGATTCCTTGAAATTCCCTGAAGTAAGGGCCAAGAAATACAGGGGAAAACACTAGACTTGGCAGGTCTGTAGTTTATCTATACCTCCAAAGGATGAAAAGCTGAATTGACCCTGTTGGCACACAGACCTGTTGTTCTACCAGTCTAGGTATTGCAACCAGCCTTAACCCTTTCATTTCCCCCTTGGGTCCTGCTTCCAGATGGTGTTATACACATTTCTGGTAGAGGTACAGCTGAAGAAACAGACAATCATCATGTCCTCGGGCCCACACCATCTTGCTGCACCTGTCCTCACTCCCCTCTTCACCCTGCTGCCTCTTTGATGACTCTCCCTCTCCACAGAGCAGGGACTGCTCTGCACTGGCATGATGCAGTTCTCCTCAGCTATCTTATGCCAGTAAGAGAAGGAAGAAATCTCCCAACCATGGGCTGTCTCTTGGAAGTCCAGTTTTCAGTTTAAAGCCATCATGGCCAACTCCAGAGGCTTTTCCACTTCTTGCAGCCTTGCTGCTCAGCTTGCCTCCAAAGCCCTGAGTGCAGGGATTGTCTTTGATCCTTTGCTTTCATTTCCTGTGACTACTGGGCTGCCCCAGAGTGCTGTGATTTGGTGTCCCTTGCATTTCCACTGCTTCATTCATAACATTACTACAGCTACATACATATCTGTCCAAAGAATAAACATTTTAGTCAAGGCCCTCATTATCTCCTATCTCTGTTTGTAACTTCCTCCTCCTTGAACCTGTGACATATCAGCCAGTTTGATCTATTTAAACACAAGCTCCCAACATCCTCTTCCCTGTCCGCTGCTGTGGTCAGAGCCAAGCCACCTCCTGCTAGTCCTCCTTATTTGCCTCCATCTAGTCTTTTATTTTCCCATGTGAGAGTGTCACAGTTCTGCCATAGCTGTCGTCACTCTACCATTGTCTCTACAGCATGGCTCTGCTCTCTTTGCCAGTGATGCTGGCGTCCTGATGCCTTTATCTGCTGCTCCCAGGGGAGCCTTTATGCCCTTTTCCATGACGCTCTTGTCCACAGGATGTCCTGCCTCCCTCAGCTAGGTTGGCCACACCAAAGTTTGTTGCATCAACCATAAAGAGCAGGTAGTTTACAATAAGGTTAGCCTGGACTAGTTTACAGGTGATACAGTCGGGGTCTTTTTTAGGGGAGGTACATCAGTCTGGGTATGTGTTTGTGCCTTTCCACTTCCTTTTGCCAGCTGTCGTTGCTTCCTGAGACAGTGGGTCTGCACAGCCTGTGTGCAGTGGGATTCCTTATTGCTTCTACATTGAAAATTTTCTGAAACGCCAGAAAGGTAACAGCTACCAAAACTATGGCAATTTTGTTTTCTAAGCACTGCAATCCAGATGTTACCAATGATACAGCACAGCTCAGAAATGCTATTCTCTCCTCAAGCCATGTTGTTATGCAATGGAAAGCTCCACACTATGTGATAAAAACTGAACCTGCTGCAGTACCTGGGTACAAACCCAGGGCTAAACAAGGGATAGCCATCTTAAGTCTATTCCCTTGTTTTTATTGGTCTCAGTGAGACTTGCAGCTTCATAGTCATGGACATTTTATATTTAAGTTTGGGTTTTTAGAGGCATTCTGGAACTGTATAAAAAGCCCCTTTCTCTGACATCGCATCAGGCTTTTTGTAATGTGAATGGCATCATTACAGTTCTCTCATTAACATCATAATGGCTCTGGAGGAATAGGGAGTGAAAACCCCAGCAAATGGAGTAGCGTGGCAATGTATAGTCCTCTTACTGTGTGAAACTGAACACGGAAAAAGTTTGACATTTTAACCTTCAGGCTGCTGCAGATGCCTCGGGGTGTCCTCACACTGAATGCATTTGGCTGACAAAATGGAAAAATTCTGGTAGCCTAAGGATGGAGGACTGGGTTCAATAAAAAACTGTGCCTGGCTTCCATGCCACTAAAGCCCACACAAGGCTCCCAAATGGATTTTTCAAAATTGAATCCAGCCCTAAGTGTCAACCTTTTGCTGTAATTTTATATAGTAAATGTATTGTATGTTCAAATGTACATCTTTCATCCTTTCTTTCCAGAGGCGCTAATGGAAGTGTAACAATGTGTGTGCTGTTCTGCAAAGTCTCATTGCAACCAACTGGATTTTGGATGAAATCCCTCCATTGCATAAGATAATGTAATAGAAATGGGTTGGGCTTACAGCTGGAGGATGAGATCTGGTTCTATTTCTGGCTCTGACACTGATTTGCTATGTGACTTCTGGCAAAATACTCAGGAATGGATTTTGCCACCCTTAATGGGGAAAAGCAGTAGGCTGGCTCTTGGGGAGCTGTGCCAGAGGTCCTGTTTGCAGAGAGGTAGCGCTTCCTCAGTAAACACTGGCTCACAGTTCTGCTCTACCTTCAAGGAGGCCGACTTTTCCCATGTGCTGGGTGCTTGCAGCTCTCTTCCCACTCATTTTCAGCAGCTGGAAATCCGTGCTTCTGAACATCCAAAGGGAACAAATAGCACACCCAGAGCCACGAGGCCTTTCAAAAGGACTGATTCTCAGCTTCTGCATGCTGAAGCAACTCCTCTGCCGCAAAATAGGACTTATTTTGCAGCTGAGAGCCACCTCTAAATCTTTATACTACATACTGAGACCTACAAGCTTTGTTTGGGGCTTTGGTTTTCTGGTGGTTGTGTTTCTTTCTCCCAGGGAAGCGATATTATTTATGCCTTGTTTTTATACAGTTTGGAAGCATGGAGAATGTACACGGAGAGTAGCTGTTTATGGAAGTGAACTGGCCTGCCTCTATTAATTTTGCACGTTATGAATAGCAGAAACAGTTCATTTACTTTTGTGGCTGTCCAGAAAACTCAGTTTTTCAAGATAAATCAGCAGCACTGTGCAGAAGGCATCCCAACACTTCCTTCCTTCCTTCCTGCATGTTTCTGCTTGAGCTCAGAAAGACCTATTTGTGAGGAAACACAGTAAGACGCAGACTTGAAATCGCCGATTCTCATTTAAAAAAGTAAATTCACAAAGAGGTGCTGAATTCATTACGAGCAAAGGAATCCTGACTTCCAGAAGTAGCAGTGAGTTTCTTCCAACCTTTATTCTCTCAGGACAAACACTGAGTGTTGACGTCTTGCCAATGTGAGAAGATTGATGTGCCCCTGTGAATGATTCCTCCATCTGGATTCATGAGAAGAGTCCATTGCTGCTTTCTAATGACGGCGTAATCTTTTCAGATACAAAATATCTTACTTTTCAGCTAGTTCTTGGGTCACTTCTTGGCCCTGCTGTCACATCAGCAGACTGACTCACTTGTTTTGACCACTCCTTCCATGTGTTGCTACTCAGCTGGTAAGAAAAGGTGTGGGAAACAAATCACATATATTGTCCATGTCAGGGATAACTTTCAATGGGCCAGTCCAGTGGCTTGCCATTCCCTGTGCTGTTTCTTGGTCCAAGAAAAGCAAGATGGCAAGTAAAATGACTGAGGGCTATATGCAGTGCATTAGCAGTAAATTGGCTCTGAGGAAGGGGTTTAGGCACCTGTCAGTCTGGCTGCAGCGAGGCTGGTGGCCTTTACTGAGGCAAACTGCTTGGGGACCTCAGCTGCCTGTGCCTTCAGCTCCCGTTTTTGCCCCGGTGAGGAGGCATGGCAGATCCATGCACGCAGGCATCCAAGATACAAACAGCACACGCTGGAAGCCGTTTCTTAATAAAGTAGCAGCCTTGTGCTAGGATTTAAGAAAACAACTGGCAGATGTGAACGATTTATTTTTCCTCCCTCTTCTGCTGCGGTTTATTTTTTCCTCTTGTTCGAGAGCGCTCAGCTGCTAACACAAACAATTGCTGAAATTCCACCTGCCCACCTGCAGCCCCTCCTTCCCGCCGCCTGCTCGGGCCGTCGCCTTCCTCCGGGAGGGCTGCGCCGAGGGGAAACTACATCCCGCTTTCTTGGAGAGAGGAGGAGGAAGAAGAGGGAGGGGCCGGGCCGTGTCTGGGCGCATTGTTCCGCGCTCCTCTGCCAAGAAGTAGGTGACTATGAACTCATCCCTCGCTCCTCGCAGAAAGTTTGCCGCCTTCCCCCCCTGCTCCCCTCCCCTCCCGCCCGCTGGCGCGGCAGGAGGCAGCTCGCAGCCCGGCGCTGGCCCTGGAGTCCCCGCTCCTGCTTAATATTCCGCCCGCTCCGCCGATGTTGTGCTTGGCTCCGGTGGGACCGCAACTCACGGCGTGAAACCGGAGCCAATTTTCTGTCTTAGTCTCGCAGTGTTTTGACTGGAGGCAGATCCAGTTCAGTCCGATCGGGGCTAGTGGAAACAACTACCTAAGTCTCGGCTGTCTGTATCGTTTGGGAGGGAAGAAAGAAGAAAGGAACGCGATCCCGGACAGCTGGGCGCGCTCTCTCTCTCTCTCTCTGACACACACACACACACACACACACGCACCGCAGACACACGCACCCAGACAGGCAGACTCGCACCCCGCCGGTGCCGAGCGCGCCGTGCCACCGCCGCCGGGAAGAAATGGGAAGCCTGTGAGCGGATCCGTGCCGGTGTGTGAGCGCCGCAGGGGCCGGGAAGGGGCGGCGGGCGGGGGCGGCGGGAGCGGGGCCGGGGGCGACCCGGGGGGAGCGCGCAGCAACTCCCGGTGCCGGGGACCCCGCGCCCTTTGTGGGAGAGGGCTCCGCTCTTTCTCTTGCCGTAAGGAGTGGGGGGGGAAAACCCCAAACGTGTGTCTATGTGAGATCGATATGCGTATGTTTTTAATATACGTGTGCGCAGAGGTCTGGCTGCTGGGGGCCGCGGGGGGCGGAACGCGGCGGGGCGGGGGGCAGGTGAGGGCGGCGGGCGCTCACCGCGCTGCTTCGCTTCCAGGTGCCGGCGCCCGCGATGACCCTGGTGCTGCCCATGCAGCGGCTGGGCCGCCCCATCGCCGCCGAGGGAGCCGCCGACCTCGCCGCCTACCGCGCCCTCTGGGAGCCGCCCTGGCGGCGGAGCGGCCGAGGGGCAAAGTTGTCCGGCGGCCGAGCGCCCTGCGGCGGCCCCGGCTCCCCGCGCCGCCGCTCACACCGGCCCCCCGGGTCGGGCGCTCGTCAGGAGAGGGTTTATTTCTGATCGCCGCGAATAGATGCGAAAATATGCGGCGGCGTTCTCCTGTAGCGCGAAGGGAAATGAAAAGTATTTTGTTTGGAGAACCTCCGGCAAACCGCATGTCATTTGTCATATCTGATTTATTACCCACAGGATCACATTACAGGGGAATTTCAAATCCTGTAACAACATCCAAGATCACATACTTTAAAAGGAAATATGTGGAAGAAGAGGATTTTCATCCACCACTCAGCAGCTGTACACATAAAGTATGTTTTCTAATAGTCATTATTTTTACTCTGAGTTTCAGATGCTTAGTAACACTCGATTGACCCATTTCCAGAATGCTGAAATGCTCTGCTGAAATTAGGAGAATGATCCAGCTGTTTGCTCAGAAACAAACAGTTGTCACTTCTTCACATTTATTGTTGTATTGTCATCAACTGCAAAAAAAGCAAAGGCATTTCTGCATTAACAACCACTGCAAATGGAGATGCTGAGAATAACTTTTCTTTTCAGATTATTTCATTGTTAGCTAGTTCATGCCATGCTTACAGAAACAGATCTGTAACAGCATTTAAACAACAGAAAGGAAGAACATAAGTAAAAGATTTCCCACTCATATAAAACTTTCTTTCCAGAGGGGGAAATAGTAAGGGGTTCCATATACCCCACACTGGTTGCAGATCCTCTAAAAAACCAGAATGACTTGGAAAGCAAATACAGGTTCCCTCAGTATTTAATCGTGTTTATTAAAAAGCTAATAACTCCCAAAGAACAGATTAATAAATGAAATAATTTTTTTTTTTTGTGAAGGTTGCCAGGGGAGAGATTAGAGCAAACGTTTCCCAGGCCAGTGAATACATAAATTGAAATCTGACTTTTTTTGCGAGATTTTATGCTCCTCTTCATTAAGGGCTCAGTTCCGTGTGGAACTGAATGCCTGGGATGAAGGGGTGAAGTACTTAAGGATAGCTCATGTCTTGAGACACCATCCTTGCCTTGTTGACTCCTACCTGGCCCATGGAAGCCCAGTGCTACCCATGTTATCTTGGCAATAGGGGAGGGATTTCTGTAGAGGAGAAGCAAGCATTAATGCTGAGCTCAGTTCCCAAAGACCTTAGAGTAGGTGAAGGAATTTTCAGGTACAAGTAGAGTTGGCTGGAAACAAGTACCTGGACCAGAAAGGTGAAAAATTGTCCTGTTGTTAATTTCAGAAGATGTCTGGTCTGCTGCCAGAGCAGTGAATAAACAGCACAAAGGGTGTTGAAAAAAATGCTCTGGTTAGTGAATGTCTCACAGATGTCACATCACTCTCCCAGTTTTCAGCCAGATTTTTTTTTTACAAGATTGTTGGATTTTTGTATCAGTGATTAATTTCCTTACAAAGAGAGAGAGGAGGAATAGTTATTTAGTCTTTTCTCATAGCAATAAAAAGCAGTTGTAGAGGCATTGGTAAGCTAGACCTAGCCACTGTTTTGTGCTGTGTGCAGAGGTGTAACCTGTCAGAAACTCTGGGTCACCAATTTCTTCTGTTGAGCCCAAATACGTTTTCTTCTTTGCAGCACTGAGCTCTGGCAGAGCCAGATGCCCACCAGGTTTCCTTGAATTTCTTACATGTTTATACCTCTGCCACCCAGTAGTTATGTTCTGAGATTATTTGTCTCATAGAGGGTATGATGGTAGGGCCTGGAGCCTCTCTCCAGAGGGCTGCTGGCAAACATGTAGAAGAAAGCCTTTGACTACTTTGTTCTTACTGGTATCCCTCCAGTACATATCTCCAGGAGAATCCCAGTTCAAGGCTTACTGGTTTGCTCCAGACTTTAATGGCTTCACTGACTGTTGCTGCATCAGGTACAAAGGACACAAATGAACCTATAGTCTTAATATAATTTAAAATGAGTCATTTATTATAGAAAATTACTCTCTCTAACAAAGAGCTTCAGCTGTGAACTCATATGAAATTATGGCCAATTTTTGTTTTTATGAGACACTGTGCTGCTTCTAAGCCTCGCAGACATGACCAGGCTGTGGAAAGAGCTAGAGGGCTGAGGAGAGATGAATGGATGTGAAAAGCAGCTGTGCTTTAAGCTCTTTCAGTCCTCATAGCTACGACTTCCACTCTGCAAAAATGCTGTAACCATGTGGAAAGGGGAAGAATGATCAAGCCACAGATGGGGGGATTTAGAGCAGTCTCTCTTTGTGCTGTGCTGCTCTCCTCCTACGCCAACCAAATTCTTACTAAAAATGAAAATTAGTTACTAGTGCTTACAGTAGCATGCATTGCCCCCTCTCTTATTTTGATTCCCAGGGTAGCGATTACAGTGCAGGATTCGGGGCCTCCCAGGGGCAGTAACCTGCTCACGCTGCCAGTGCTGAGAAAGGGAGTCCTGGAAGGACCATGGAAGGGAGAACAAATCTGTGGGCGTAGAGCCAGGATTTCTGCAAATCCCTATCCTCTTCTTTTCCTGACCTTATCCCTGCCTATCTGCATTCCCACCGGTCCTGTAGAGCACAGGGCATAGTATGCAGGCCAACAGCTGCTCTCCAGATGCTGAGATGCTTTGAGATGGGTTTCTTCCTGCCTCCCTCCCTGCATGCACTTCTGTGCACAAGAGCAGTGTAAGAGCCTGGCAAATGGAGACCTCCTCGCTGGAGGGCCTCTTCCACTGGCAGCAGATTAAATGCTCCAACACTTGCTGTGTGAGGTGATGGCTGCTGGCTGCCTCTTGCAAACCTTGGCGCTGCAGGAAGGACCCTTGCTTGGCTTCAGAGCTTTGCAGAAGCCCCACAGGGGATGATGGAATTGGGTCCATTTACAACAAAAGGCCCCCCTAGCTATCACTGGAGCAAAACTGCACAACAAGTTTATGTTCTAATCCCAAATGTAATTAAAGAGCCAGATGTGTGCACCTGGATTTCACTCTCCCACCTTGGATTTCTGCCCTGCAATTGCCTCTGTGGTGTAATGCTCAGCTACTTACCTCCTAAGATCAGCTGCTTACCCCCTAAACATGGGGGAATGCTGTGGCCAAGAAAAAGCAGGTCCCCAGCTGCAAGGATGTTCAAAATAAAAAAAAGTTTTAGATGCCTCAGAAAAAGAACAGGAAAGTAGTGACACAGAGGGAATACTTTGCTTAATTTCCTTTCTCCTTGTCTGGAACAAAACTGGTTGCCTTCAGTTCCATATAATGTGTTTTTTGCATTTTCAGACAATCTCTGTGTTTGAGGAGCGGGCCCATATTCTCTACATGTCTTTGGAAAAGCTGAAATTCATTGACGATCCTGAAGTCTACCTGCGCAGATCCGTCCTCATCAACAATCTCATGAAGAGAATCCATGGAGAGATCATCATGCAGAACAACTGGTGCTTCTCCACCTGCTCCTTCAGTGGCACCTCCCCACAAGAGTGGTTTGTGCCTCAGGACTGTCCATACAGAAAACGCCTTCGCATGGCAAAGGAGGAGTACGAGAAGCTCCACATGTGCTGCTTCTATCAAGAATGTGGCAGTCACTATTTAAATCTACCCTACTCTGTTAATGCTAGTACAGAAAGTAATTCCCCTTCTTCCTCCTCTTCCTCCTCCTCCTCCCCTCCCATCTCTTTGCCAAGCTGTTCCCAGCAGGTGGATTATGAAGTTGGCAGCGCACCTTCTTACAGAAATGATGACCAGATACCTGCTAATGAAATATTCTTCACGAATGGCAGGTCTCATAGTAATCAGGAAAAGGCAAAATTTAATGACAAGAATGGAGGTAATGAACCTGAGAGAGAAAGCATCACCCTAAACTGTGAACCTGTAAGAGGCACCCATGCTCTTGAATGTAAAGGCAAATTTTATGACTGTTTTGAGACTGGATGTAATGACAAGAGCAACGTAAGTGAATCTTGGAAAAAATCCTTAAGGAAAAAGGAATCTTTACCAAGTAATAAAATCTGCTGCAACAAAGGAAGTAAAATATGAGGCATCTTTCTTGCTCTATTGAAGCATGCACAGCATGTTCCTTCTCTACCAAATTTTTATTTTGAACGAATTTTTTATAGTTTTCTACGAATGGTACAATCATGCCACAAACGTGACGTGTAGAGCAGATTGCATAAAGTGTCTCTGCCATCCGCATCAGGAGCTGTTTATAAATGTGGAGACTTCAGAAAGAACACAGTTGCATTACTGCTGAGCACTGTAGTCTATGCAGCTATGGTGGAGCTTTCGTTGCTGAAAATGCCAATCAGCCAGATGGGGAAAACATATCGTTTTACATATCCCCACCCCCAAGAAGTCTGCCATTAATTAAGAAGAACTTCCATTATGTTTACCAAGGAATTAGAAGTCTGGTAAACAAATTGATGCTACCAGCAAGGAGGATATGCTCCTTGTAACTCAGTATTCATTCTGATAAAGGACTGTCTTCATGGATTGGGAATAAACCATCCTTACGTTTTGTAGTGATACTCTTGAATTCCTGTATTCAGCATCTTGTTCAACTGACAAAATAGGACATAGCATAAAGAAATAACCTGTTTATGGAATCTTAATCAGAATCAAACATGCAGCTCAAGTACCTGCATGTTTTCACCTCGGCTGTAATAACTAATGAGGTTTGTTGTTACAGAGGACAGGTTTTTTTTTGGTGCCTTACTTTTTGTCTTAATTTTTGCCAGTGTGAAAATTAAGTATGAATCTGATACAGCAGGGATTTAACCTAAACAGAGATTAAAAAGAAACCCACAGGGTGGATCAATATTATTAGAAACCTTTAACCTTTGAAGTACTGAGTTCAACTTCCTATTCAAACATCTCTGTTCTTCCTTTTTGATGCTCAATTGCTTTTTGATTTGCCATCCTTAGGAAGGGATTTAAGAAACAATAGAGAGATGTCTCTTGTAAACAAGCATTCGATGCTTGAGTGTTTCTATGGCAACTGTCTGTTGCTGGGGCTCTTTTTTTTTCTTCTTCGTATAATGAAGTTCATGACCCAGTGGCATGTTTTATACTTTATTCTGTTTCACATAATTTCTATATTTTAGATTGCAAAAGCATGCGGGAGTTTTCTATGACTTTTGCCGTTGATTTAAAAAAAGACAAGAAGGCAAAAAGCACAATGTTTATTAATAATGTGGCGATAAACGCAGTTTTATCTGAATGAATGTAAGGGGTTTAATTTTAAAAAAGAACATTTTGGAGATTTCAGTGGCTGAGAACAACATTAGTTATCCCAAGGTAGATTGATTGCAAATGTGTGCTGTGTAAAATGCCCAGAAGACATTAGTTGGGGTTGGACCAAGAGTGAGTCTTAGATTCACCAAATTAATTAGTTCCCACACTCCCCATAACAACTGGCAGGATGTGCTCAGCAAAATAGCCACATCCAGGCCACAGCTGACTCATAAATAGCTGCCTGTTCCCACAGCATCTTGCACTCAAGTGACATCTCCACTTGCTTCTTGCCCAAAGGGGGAAAATCACCTCTGTGCTGGGGGAGCAGCCAGCTCAGTGCAGGGCATGAGTGTCCCCAAGGGGAAACAGCCCCGTGCTTGGCACTGGAGTCAGACAGGTCTCTGGGACTGAGACCTTCTGCTTTGGGTTTCATGGGTTCAGCTGGAGGAGTCCTGAGCCATGGTTATTTTGGGTAGCAAAATACATTTTCAGACTGTATGGTCTTTTTCAGAAAGCCCAGTGGTCACAGGAAAAATCTACCCAGCCAAGGTGACCACAAACACAGCAGGATATAAATCAATGATAACCTTTATGAAGTCAGGTGAGTGTAAACCAATAAGTTTGTAAGGATTATCATTGGGAAAAATAACAAATAAAGAAAGTACAAGTCCCACCTGATTTCTCCAAGACAGAAGCTTTTTTATTAATAATAATATTATTAAATATAGATCTCATTCATACAGTGTATGAGTAGGATCATCATTTAGACATTTGTCCACAAGGACCAATTTTTTAAAAAAACTGATTTTTCTTGTGTTATATCCAGATAGTCTAGTAATGTCTGCTCTTTTCCAATATTTGATAAACGCTTGATGTTTTAAGCTTAAATATTAGATGCTTGTATACTAATGTGTTGTTGTAGTAAAGTGAAATTTCCTTGATATATATTTATTAAAATGACCAAAATTCATTTTAATTTTACATCTCCAATGGCTACTGAGTCCTTTCCCCTATGTTCCCCTCCCTCACCAAAGAAAGCGCCGTTTAATCAAACTGCTCCCTGCTCTAGAGATTGCACAGCAGTTGACTGTGCACTTCAGGCTGGCTCTGTGAGGCAGCACAGCCTTGCCAGGGTTTCAGGAGCATTTAGGACAGTCTGAAGGTGCACTGAGAAGCAACAGATTCTCTGTAGGCTTGCACATACAGCCAAGGAAAACACCTGGCCAAATGCTGCCCAAACCACAAATCAGCTAACACTTCTGGGGAGGCTGAAAGCTTTTTGACCCTAAAGGGCTCCTTGGTCTTCCAGAACAAGCCTGCACACATAACCTATTGCAGAGGCTTCTCAGTTCAATTTGCACAAGCTGAAGTGATGGATCAGCAGATCTTTGTCTACTCTGGCCTCTATAATGGCTTCTTTAGTTCCAGAGACTAAAGATTAACAGGTTAATCTGAAAATTAACCTGTTACAGCTCTAGACAATCTTATTGTCGTCAGGGTCTGTAAGGGAGGAAATGCCATCTAATGAAAATTGGCCTACAGATAAGTGGGGCTTTATGCTTTTCTCTGGACTTGCCTCACAAAATAATAGCAAATACCGAAACTGATGTATTGGAGTCAGGAGTCCACTTACAAGAGACAGAGGTATTCCACACAGAAAAGGGAGGTGGAAACACCCTTGTCCCATCCCCAGAAAAGCAATAGACCTTGATAGGATCTCCATCCTGGGCTAGACTGAATGGACTTAAATTCAGTTTCATTTATGGCATGTGAAGACTGTAAGCCTGATAGGCCTTTTCCCCACTGCACAATCCAGTGTTAAGGATATTTTGCTAGTATCAACAATTTTCAAGAAATAGTTCCTTTACAAGATTATTTGAGTGCTTTTCATCCATATGTCCCCCACATAATTGTTGAATGAATGCTCCTGAACTTGATCCTGGCCTGCCTGCCCAGAAGAGGTGGACAGAAGCGTTTCTCTCTAGGAAGATTGTTTTTCTCTCTATCATAAGACACTTTGCTCCTGGAATGTACCACTGTGCCTTTCAGCACATGCCAAACAGCAACAGAAAAAAATGTTTCTGTTGTCACATCAATTTTGCTGTCGCTAGGAAAAAAGAAGTGTCATTTTATCTTCAGGATCTAGGTAATACATTTCACTTGGAAATGCGAAGTTCATTTGGGTTTAAAAAATCATGTTTCTTTTTCAAAGCGTGGCATAATATCATTGTGCTTCTTGTATACTCGCTACTTTTGGTAAAATTTTACTATTTTTACTGTATTAGCTAATCTGTTGAAACAGCTTAACATGGGTACTGAAGCATCCTCAGCACTCAGACAGCCTCAGCTGGCAGTGATGTGCAGTGCCAGCAGAGCAGCTGGTTCTGCAGGGAAAACAGCCACAGCCTGAGCCACAGAAATGAAGTGCTTCTTTCAGTCCTGAAGGTGTTACGCCCCTAAGCAAAATTGTGGCAGGGACTTTTTTCACATTTCATCTTCCTGCATGCCCTCCATCCTCCTTTTACACCCCTCATCTACCATCTGTCCTTTTGTGTCCTACCATCATGCTGACCATGACACACTGCCAGGGTGCTACGGTGTGTGCCACCACCCTTCGGATTTGTGCAGGGGAAGCAGGGAGCTGGTCCAGAGCCACAGCATGAGCTAAGGCGGGATTTAAACAAAGGAACCAGGTGGCTGCTCTGTGGTCCCTCTGGAGCCTTGTGCCAGTTGTGACCCCCCTCACCTAAATGACTTCTCCAGCTGCCTGTAGCTCAGATTGCCACTATGGAGTGATCTGGTGATAAGAGAGTTATGGCTGGAGCAAAGAAAGAGGTGAAGGTGATTTCTAGCCTGCATTTGACTTGTGTCCTTTCATTGCCTTCTTGAGCTAAAGGCGTAGCGAGAGGTGTAGCAAGTGCAATGGCTGCTTACTCATGCCAGGAACCTCAACAAAAGAAGTTTCTTAAGTTTTATCACAAAAAAACCCCAAAACCAAACGAGTCAATCACATCAGGGAAAGGTTTAAACTGCTGTGAGGTAAAGGATTTCATCTGGTGTTGTACTCAATGAATGCAACTCTCACATGGAGGCCTCCCAAAGGGACCTGACCTTTTACATTGTCCATCCCTTGCTTTGCAACCTCTAAGACAGGGGCTGCCCTCGCTTTCTGGAGGTCACCATTTGGGCTCCTCAGTACTGGTATGAGCTTTTCTACAGCTGCACGAAGCACCCCAGAGGCTTTTCCTGGCAGGGTGTGCAGAGCCTGTTAAAATACCATAGCCAGGAAAGTGTTTCAAAGGATCCTGCTGGAAATGTTAGGAGATGCGAATCTTCCACATCCCATATAACAGCCAAGCCGCTCAGTCACAACTACTTGGAATACACAGTAATTTCCTGTGTTTTTTCAATCTCACTTAAACTTCTCTGACAGATGGGGAAAGATGACTAAACCAAGGGAGTTTACAAAAGTTCGTCTTGTGGTGTTTGCAAACTGTCTCTGTGAGGTCCATTTTCTCTAATGTAAACACAGCCCTGGCTGGGTGCCGAGTGCCTTTGCAGCAGCTAATCCTGCTCAGCTTAAGGCTGCTAAAACGAGGAGCACCCAGCCAGCCAGTCCACTCTGGGGGCTGAACATGAACCAGCCCTGGGGCTGAGGGGTGTTAGGGGGAGACCTTCACTTTCTGGGCTTCAAACAGCGTGAAGCAAAGCAGCTGTGGCTCTAAGACCAAACTAAGTTTACTATGCTGGGTCAGAGGCTTTCCAAGGGGCCTTGGGTCAGGTGTGGAAGGTTAGATAAAACTCCAGGGTAATAATCAGGTGAAAGCAATTGTCTTTGGAGCTGTAGTTGGCCTATTGTTGTTCTCTCTAGTCTTCAAATCACTGCCAGGAAGGGAGTACACCCTGGGGAAAGTGGAGTTTCAGTTCTTTGGCTTTGCAGAAGTGGTGCAGAGTATGCAAAGCTTTTTCACCAGCTCCAGCTGAAAGGCCAGGAAGGCAAATGTTTTAACTTCTCAAAGTTATTTTTATTTATTTTATTGCTCAAGTTCCCCTTGCTGAGGAATGCAGGTTGTGGGAGGAGGAGCCATAGATGGGTGGTGTGTGTACACTCAGAAGTATGCACGAGCAGAAAACCCCAAACACCAACAAAAACCCCAAAACAGAGAGATACTGAATTTGAAAAGTAACTCATCTTCTATAGCTAGTAATTCTTCTGAATTAATCTAGCATCACTCTCCAGTTTACTGTGGAGAGCATTTATTCTGTCATACTGGGATTGCAGCAAGACAATAAATGGTCTGTCTGCTCAAGGTCAGTCCATTTACAGCTACCTCCTGCAGTGGTGCTTTCCCTGTGGAATATCCCACTAGGCTCATCCTTCTGTATGGGGGTCTGTGTCTGCCTCCTGAAACCACTAGAGGCTCAGATCCTTGCAGAGGAGGATGATGGACTGTCAGTAGCTGGTGGTCTTCTCTCCTCCATGATACTCACCTGTAGCTGCCACAGTTGTGCTCAGCAAGCTCAGAGGGATCCCACAACATCCTTCTACCATCCCCTCACTGCCTTCTATTTCAAGTACAGTATTTTCCCTCGTGAACTATGGCTGGTGCCAATGGTCTCTTGCAGTTTGCTGGCTGGTATTTCAGAGATTTTTGCAGCTGGGTGATGGGTAATGAGATGCTTAGCTGGCATGAGATGATGCTGTGCTATTGATTTTTGGAGAAATTGTGCCTGGTCATGTAAGCTAACCACTCACACCTTTGGTTATTATTGGTTTTGTCTTTTCCTGATTTCCTTAATCAGAATAAGTTTTGAAAGACAATCCCTCTCTTCCACCCCACATTTTGTGGGACTGGCTAGTCTGTATTTACCTATTTTAGTAAGGAAAAAATCTCTGGCAGTGGGCGTTGAAGTTGTGCAGCAGATTGTTTTCCAATCCAGTTTTAGTCTCAAACTCCAAAATGGTTTGTCTCTCAGTGTATGTGTAAAATCTGTGCTCTATTCCTTCATAAATGCTAAAAGCCCTTGTAATTATTTTTTCACACTCCATCCATTGCCTTTTCAGGGCAAAATCCTCTGTACTTTGGTCTATGAGCAGGTCCCACTAACCAGACTCCTCATTCTCTTTAGTGATATGGCTGCCATGGGGCCAATTATTTCTTTGAGTACAGTAGTGTGGGTTTGGCTTAAAATGCAGTTGTCCTTTATCATTCTCACAAACCATCAAACACTGAACATAAATCTAAGTGTTGCTACATTCTAAGTATAATGTACTTTCAGCATCATTTTCTTCAAACTTATCTTCTGTGAGTCTCAACAAGTATTGCTAAAGCCACTTGCATTTCCCAATTACTGTTAGTATTGTAATTAGCATTAGTCTGAAAATAAAATTTGACTAATTGTGTAAATCTTGAGCAGACTATGTTTTACCTGTGGAGGCTGAATATGTATTATTCCTTCTTTGACCCCTTCCTCTCTGTAACAGATTGGTTTCTGGCTTACCAGCAGACTAACTGGCATGACGACAAATCTCATTTTGTCTTTTCTGAAAGAAGTAAGGCACACAGTGTTAATGCAATCCTGTATATCCATTGAAAGATTGCTCCAATACTGAAACTTTAAAATAACCTGTATAGGCATCACAGGCATGAAGAAAATCTTAAAATACAAGTAGGGCATAAGCTACTGTCAGATCACTTTCCTTACTCTGCATGCAGGCTGAGACGAGGATTTTCATTGTATGAATTTATCCACCCATTGGAAGTGCCTGTTTGCTAATACTGAGGCTTAAAGATGACAGTGTAATGTCAGCCTTTGAGGTATTTCACTGGTGACCATTATAAATAAGGCACTCAGCTATCAAGCTTGCCCTCCATTCCCAGTGATCCTCTGAGCCTCTCAAGCTGATGGTGGACCCCAGTAGTACCCTTCCACTGCCAAAGCTCCTTTTTCCCCTTTGAATATTTCCATATGCTA